CCTCCGCCGCGACTCTGATCGCCCGGCCCAGCTTATCCAGGTGCGCGATCCAACCAAGGCGCCGCAAGCCATATTGCTGATCTGGGCACTTGCCCCTGCCGTTTGGCCGCTGCCTTCGTGAGCCCTCTCTTCGACAGGGCCTCGCCGCGGCATTTCCAGGCCAAAGCCACATGGTCGGTCGAAAACCGCTTCTGGTGCCAACACATCGATTTACACCCTTGGCTTGCCGTTGCTATTCAACGCAGCAACCGTGGACGGTGATTCGTATACATGCCGTAATAATTTCCTACACTATTTTGGAGGTTCCTTATTGTTAGTATAGCATAACCGGTTCCAAAACCCTATTCTCACTATTAAGGCCCCTACATGAACTCCCCTAGTCCCCCACCTTGATTGTTTTGCTTAAGAAGCATGCCAGCATTCTTAAGCTCCGGATCGCTTCGTTTGGACCTCGTTCAATTGGGCTTCATTCTACTTCCCGCCCTCCCCCTGGAACCACCACCGCTTCGGCGATACTCGTAGAAAGGCTGTTGCAGCTACAACTAAATAAGCAACAATAAAAATGAGCAGTAGTATATATCAAAAAAAAATTGTCAACAATAGTCATTAGTATAGAGTATAGTAGTTCATAGTAATATCCAGGTATGATACCATCCATGGGAAGTACGACGGAACCGTGGAGGCGGGAGTTTCGGCTGGGGCGTGGGGGGATCTTCGGGCTCCAGAGTCTGCACCCTTATGCGTAGTCACGAGACCCTAAGACTAGGGATCTAGAGGGCTCCTTAAAGGGATCTATAGGGTTTCCTTAGAATGGGATCTATAGGGGTAGTCTTACCTTTGGCTAGTAGGGATGGAAGAATGGTAGTAATAGTAGTTATGATTGTACCCCATTCCTCCACTCCCTACTAACCAAAGGTAAGATCACCTACCACAGGTTACCAGGTTGTGTTTTTCGGGCTGGGATAGTCAGAAAAGGGAAAATGAGCCTTATGTCACTGTGCGCCCTAAGTAGTGCCGAAACCCCTGTGGAGTTCTGGAGGTGGATGGCGACTCCCTGGTCATCGATGGACAGAAGGCAGAGCTGTCGTTTGGAAGCGCCACAAGCTTGGGGCTTTAGGGTTTCGGGTTAAGGCTGTCAACCCAAAGGGTCCAATGTACCGATATAGTAGAATGTAGGGATTCTTATTAGGAATTACTATTATGACCTAGGGAAATATCCCTTATGACAGTACAAAGGAGCCTTTGGGAAAGTGTTGAGCGTTTAGGCTTTAGGGAGCACGCTGTATAGAATAGCACTATTCCTTAGAGTTCTGGCTGTTGCTAGTAGTACACTGCACCCAAGGGTATACTGCGCTGTTTAGACACCCTGCAGAACCCTATAGACACCTAGACAGCCCAAACAATGCTTCGTAGTATTGGGCTTGACCCTAAACCACCAAACCCCAAAGCCTGTCATTCTTATCATCAAGGCCCTTAAAGTTAGCGCCTAAACCTCAAAAGTTAAAAGGAGTGGGATTAAGAGACCTTGCCATCATTACGAAACTGCAACGCAAAGGCCTAACGCACTGCTCTAAACCGGACATAATAAAGCTAAACTTGGAACAGTAGCCGCAGATCCCTTTACAAGCCCTCAGAGGAACACTGAAAGGCAGCTTAAACTCTGCACCAAAGCCCCCAAAAAAAATACGCCCCTAGCCCCTACTAATATTCTGAATTCCTAACGACTACAATTTACAACTAGACCCAAAGCTTTCCCTGAATCCTCAAGCCCTTGCACCCCGGCCCGAAAACCGAAACCCGAAATCGGCCCCAAGCAAAATCCCTCAGAGGTGGCTTTGTCCCACACCCGCGACCCGGCCGAGATCCCCTTCGGAGAGACCTTTGGCTCATTCAAGGAGGCTTTGTAAAGGCTTCATAACAGTTTTAGGGCTTGTGTGTATAAAGGGTTTGTAATAGTCTATAATATGAATTAAGGGTTCGTGAACGGTGTGTGCATTGTTTATAAGAGGTTGATGTGGGTTTGCATCAGTGTTTGTTGCTGTTGGGTCCCTTTTCGAGTTTATGTTTATTCATCGCAGTTCTGCTGCACTTTGGAGAGCTTTACGCTGCGAGTAGGCCTTAGGTGGGCGGATTTATCAATAACCTGACACCCCAGAACAAACTACAAGAGGACCCCTGAACCCCAAACGCTAAAACCCAACCTCCCTAAACCCCTGAACCTAAACCCTATAGCCCTATACCCGGAGGCTGAGACTTGAGCATGTTGAATCCTTACTTTGGTCCCTTTCTGGGTTCTTTTTTCCCCCTCGCGTGCCGTGGTATTCTCGGGACCTGGAAAGGGACCCTCGTTTAGAGAACTACCCATGTGTTGTTGCAGAGGCACGGCGCCGAGTACGTTTGCGAGTCCACGGGCGTCTTCCTGACCACCGACAAGGCTGAACCCCAAAAACCTAAACCCTAAATCCTGTACCCTAAACCTACTACATCCTGAACCGGGTCTGGCCACCCGAAACCTTACCTCTACACTAATCCTGCGGCCCGCAAAATTCTATTAAGGACACTCTGAGCCTAAACAGCAAGAATCTTAAACTCGAAAGACCCTACGTGGTGAGGTTGGGTAGTTTGCGGCTTCTCGTGGCTGCTTAAAGTGTTATCGGTTCGAAGTAGAGCAAGGCTGAAAGTGTAAACTAGGTTTTGCTTCAACACGGTGTTCAGTGTTTGGTGGCTCAGGGCAGCAACAGTGCTTTGGATTTAGACTATATTTCTCTAAGCTTCCGAGTGCACAAGATATATGCGCTTGGGTTCAGGGTGGCAGTGGTTGAAGAAGGTGCCTAAGTACCTGTGGAGTACATGAGCTACTTGCACCCTGTATACATCCTAAACCTTAAACCTTCGTCACTGCAGATGAGGGGGCGATAGTTAGTGTCGTAGAACTCTTTAAAGTGATCGTGTCAGGCCCCCCATTCAGGTCCTTATTGCGGAACCCTGTCCTGCTGGGTTGTCTATGGTATGACGGGCGTAGGATTTAGGATGTAGGGTTCATGCTTCGCAGTACATCGTTTGACTGGATTCTGGGACCCGTATAATATTCTCAGATCCATCTAAGTACCAAGAATTCAGGAGGCGGCCATGACATGTTATGATGCGTCGTGAGGGACATCGCCCTAAGTTTAAACCCCTAACCTAGTCCCCAGCCCTTGAAACCTTAAAACTCCAAACGCTGTTTAGCCTTCGACACCTCAAACACTCCCTTGCAGCCAGGTCCAGCCTCACCTCAAGGCCGGTGCCAAGAAGGTGATCTTCTCTGCCCCTGCTAAGGACGGATTGGTTTTAGAGTAGAAGGGTTCGTGCGATCCAAGCTACAGGCGGGGGGTGGGTGGGTTGTAATAATCCCTTCAGGGGTTCCTATGGGGGTCTAAGGGATCAATACTGAGGGTTTCTGTGGGTTTAAGAGTTTTGGGGCTCAGGGTGTTGTGCAACCCTTGCAAGAATAGAAGTGACGCCACCAGATGAAAGGTAAAGATATCAGGATACTTCCACGACAATTACTGCGACCTCCAGACACCCTAAACCCTAAACTCCAGACACCCAGACCCAACTCTTGGCCCGACCCTTTTGGCAGGATGACTCCCACACCATCGTCATGGGTGTGAACGAGGCAGACGGGAGCGCTTCATGTAATCAGCGTCGACTCCCTATACAGCTTTCTTTCATGGACTGCTGTGATCCCACCCGAACCCTGCTCTCATTAGTCTGGCCTGGCCCCTATTGTAAGAAGATTTGGGTTTCTTTGATGTGGGTTTCTCGGGTTTGAGTGTTCGTGGATCAGGGTCGAGGGGTTCAAGGTTCAGGGTTGAGGAATTGGGGCTTCGTGATCGTCATGATTTCGAGGATCGCAAGCTTGGGCCCATGAGGACAAAGAACTTCGTGAGCTTTTGTACAGCTATAGACGGCTCGGGGCTTCGACAGAAGTTTTAGGGCATAGTGGCATAGTCGTAATCGTAGGATTACTAAGTCTTGTTATTATTATTATTATTATTCTTATTCTTATTCTTATTCTTATTCTTATTATTATTATTCTTATTCTTAAGATTATTCTTATTCTTATTATTATTCTTATTATTATTTTTATTCTTATTATTATGTTTATTATTATTATTATTAATATTATTCTTATTCTTATTCTTATTATTATTATTCTTAAGATTATTCTTATTCTTATTATTATTCTTATTATTATTCTTATTCTTATTATTATTTTTATTATTATTATTAATATTATTATTATTATTATGACAATTATAATAATAATAATAATAATAATAATAATAATAATAATTATTATTAGTATTTTATTATTTCTATTATTCTTATTATTGTTGTTATTGTTGTTATAATAATAATAATAATAATAATAATAATTATTATTATTATTGTTATTGTTATTGTTATTTTTGTTATTCTTATTATTATTACTATTATTATTATTACTATGATTATTGCTATTTTTATTACTATGATGTTTATCATTATTATCATTAATATATTTTGTCTTAGTCTTCATTATTTTTATTGTTATGAGGCATGTCTAGCCTGGGAGTCAGGGCTGAGAGGGTTCGCAGTGGGGAGCGGTCTTCTTTGGCTCCATGCTGTAACAAAACCCTACAACTCCGAAAGCGCCTAGGGCCTAGGGTTTAGGGTTTAGGGGTTAGGGGTTTAGGGTTTAGGGTTTTAGGGTTTAGGGTTTAGGGGTTCAGGGGTCCAGGGTTTAGGGTGCCTGAACAACAGAAGCTTAAAGCCAAAAAGAGGGGCTTTTATGGTTCATTCATAGTATTTTCCTCAGGCGTCCTCAAAAAATTATGCTAGAATATACCTCGACACCCTATTCCAATTCTTGAGGCCTCCATGTTACAACCACCCCAGACCTTGCAACCACAAATCCTACGTCCACAAAACGGAGATAAGGGTGTATGGTTGAGCAGGACACCTACGACCCTTCCATGGAGTGCGTCTCCTGCGCTAGCTGCACCACCAACGGCCTGGCCCCGGCCGTGCGCGTGCTGCATGAGAAGCACCCAGGCAGCAAAGCGAACGAACAACCATAGATTTCGGGTTCAGATGTTGTAGTTTCCGTGTTTAACATGTATAGGGTCTATATTGAGGTCCATCATTTTGCTACTGCTCAGTGAGGTTAACCCAGGGAGCTCGACACCCTGTGATAGGGGAACACAGCCTAAAGCTCAATCAGAAGCTCTACATTAGGCATTCAAGAACCCATATCATATAATAGCTTAACCACAGTCGCAGTGTCCTTTCGTAGAACTTTGAACGCCAAAATACTATAACATCTGTGTTGTGAATCACTTCTCTGGAAAACCAAGAACCTTGAATCATGTATTCATGCTTAATGAAGAACAAACCCAAACCCAAAAGTCAAGAGCCCAGCTTTAGTACAGTACCCTGTAAACCCAAAAATACCCTCAAACCCTAAGACCCTAAAATGCCGAAACTGGTAAGTGTTCTTTGAGGTTCGGCATCAAGCGTGGTCTCATGACCACCTGCCACGCCATGACGGCCTCGCAGCCCACCGTAGACGGCACCTCCAAGAAGGACTGGGGGAGAGCAGTTGGGGTCTAGGAGGTGCTTTTTTAAAGGTATGCTAGGCCTCTGAAGGCTTGCAATGTAGATACTGTGAGTCCGAAGTAATTACAAACTATGTCTGAGTACATGGACCCATAGGGTTTGGGGGGTCGAAAATCAGGACTCAAAGCTGGTGACATGCTGTTTGCCACGGTTTAGGGTTTAGAGATTAGGGTTTAGGGTAGGGGGGGGTTAGGGTTTAGGGTTTAGGGTTTAGGGTAGGGGGGGTTTAGGGTTTATGATTACGTTTCACCAACCATGTTGCCAAATTGGACAGTCTATGTTCCCGAAGAAATTAGTCTAAACGTTCATGTCTGATTGCCGCAAGCAGTCGTGTGCAAGCCGTTGTCGTGCCAGTTCTTTGACGTACAACTGCGGACATGACATTCGTTCCGGACTGCGAGTGGGCTAAGCGAGGCATTTCCATTAGTTCATACTCTTGATCGCCGTCTCACTAGCAATGCTCATATCACTCTTTTTTGCTTCCGGCTCACCACCACAATCATCGTAGACATCAATCCACGGACCATGTATCTGGCGTGTTTCGGCGCTTGTCAGCAACATGTGGCTTTGATCACTATGCTGTATGGGCCGAGGCAGTTATTCAGTTACCAATGCTATTCTGGTGGTTCCTGATTATAAGCATAGGAAACTGGGCCCCGGAGCCCGATTCTAAGAACGAAGGCCCCTCTATTACGTCCGCCCCCTCCGCTGCGGGATCCTAAGCCGGAGCCGGTCAGGACTTGGCTCGATCATGTAGGGGACCCAGACGATGTTGGGGGTTCCCTCCTACCTATAGTCTCCATTGTAGTTCCCTTTTTGGGTTTAACCAATTATATATTAGGGATCCTATAAGGTAACCCAACAAAAGGAGCTACAATGAAGACTATAGGTATACTTCAAGTATAATTTTCTTCGAACCCTATTCTACATATTAAGGCCCCCTATATGACGTGGAGGTCAGAGGACGAGGGAGGAGCCAGTCTTGCAAATTGTGTTGAGTAGAGGCTTCTAGTCAGGCAGGCAACGCCAAAGCTGTCGGCATGGAATACTTGGAGGATCATGGGACTTAGTAAGTAGGGTTATAAGTACCCTAAGTGGGTATATAAGTAGTTATGAGTACAGTTACCTCAATTATAACCCTAGTTACTAAGTCCTATGATCCTTTGAGTACTTGTAGACGCATCTCCGGAGATGCCGTTCCCGACCCCGAAACTGTAAACCCTACCCCAAGGGTCCAAGTACCTAATAATCATATACTCTCCAAAATCCTAACCTACATAACTACTACCCGAAAACCGAGTACTTGATTATTGGGTCCTTTGGACCCTTGGGCCTACAGGCGACTCGACATGCGAATATTTAGAGCTTTAGGCTTAATTTCCAAGTGGCCTCCATTGCAGGACTGGCGTGGCGGCCGCGCCGGTCCAGGTGTCTTTTTCCAAAAAATTGAAATTTCAGGATTCAATATATTTCATTTGAGGGCATTTTCATGTCATGATCCGAAGACCCTAAACCCTAAGCCCTAAACTCCAAACCCTAAGCCCTAAACCCTAAACCCTAAACCAAGCCCTAAACCCTAAACCCACTTTGGAGATGTAAGGTTTGGGGCCTCGAGAGCAAGGACTGGCTGCTGGTTTAGGAAGGATCAGGGACTTAGTAAGTACCTGGACCCTAAAGGAACCTACCTTTTTAGGGTTCACTGATATGATTTCTTTATATAAGTCCTTGGAAAGGTAGGTTACGTGGGGTTAGGGTACCTGTGGATCCAACAACCTACCGTTTTAAGGGTCAGCCCTTCTAGTTGAGGGGTCATAACCTACTATTTTGTAGGGTTTGGGGCTACAGGTAGGCTTCAGCACAAGGAAGCTAGACTTGGAGTTCTGCTACACACCAATTGCAGGTGCTTATAACTTTTGGCAGTTTGGCCTGTCAGGTTGCAGTGAGTTTGGGCGCACGTCAGGGTTTAGTAGTCAGGGGGATATCTCTCTCAGAGAGCCCAATACCAAGCAGATCCCTTAATCAAGGGTATTGGTCTCCCTGGGTAGAGTTCCTTATCACGGGTATTGTGCAAATACGTTCTCGCCGTTCTACGCTTTCCTTCATTTCCGTCGGGCTCTGCTTACAGGGGTATCTTAGTAGCTAAGTAGAAAACCTTTACGCTTTCTGGGTTTATATTATCCTACCAAGAAAAGGTTAACCCTTTCTTAGTAGGGTACTCAACCCCTTAGGGTTCGAGACGTGAAGCTTCTCATGGATTACCGAACCGACCCCATCACCTAAAACCGCGGCCGAGGCTTTTCGTGATGATTCGGGGTTTAGGGTTAGGGTTTAGGGTTCAGGGTGTCAGGTATACCCTAAATGCCCTGAATCCTACATAAGCCTGTCCTACACGAAGCCGCTTCGCCTCTCACCCAATGGGGCCCTTATCAGTCCGTGTCTAGACCCCCATAACAGCACTTTCTGGCTGCGTTAGATACCTGAGCCCCAAATAACCTACATGTTTACGGGTTCATATGGGGGTATCCAAAAATAGGGACCCCAGTATAGTACTGAAAGTAATAGGATCCTTATTGTAAGGAGCCCAAGCTAAGGTACCCTAATTTTCGGAAACTCCCATAAAATGATTTCCTGTCACTGTCCTTAATTAGGTAGCTTCTCCAGGGTCCAGGTAACCTCTGCAAGCATCCCACAAGCAGGCAACATCATCCCGTCCTCCACGGGAGCCGCGAAAGCCGTGGCTAAGGTGATCCCGGACGTCAAGGCCCTGCGGTTTCGGGATCCAGATAAGTGTGCTGTACGGGGTTGATATGCTTACGGTAGAATATGGGGGTTTCCGAAAATAGGGGACCCTAATACAGTACCTTCAATAGTAGGATCCTTTTTTACAGGGACCCCCAAAATAAGGTACCCCTAATTTTCGGAAACTCCCATATACCCAAAGGCTCAGTTTGGGCACCCATACTAAACCACTACTTGCAAAATGGCGCTTGCAGGAATGTTTTATCCCGAGGTCGTTCGGGGCATAAGTACACTGCATGACGCAGAGGAACAAATCGGATCACATACCGATTGCAGGCAAAATATGCTCTAGCATTGGCAAAGATGGAGCGGTTATAGGGGAGGTTGGGCGGGTTGAAAGACTGCTGGTGAATATTGTAAGTAGCGTTCTATGTTATCAACCCAGTTTGCAAAGTTGTCCGAATCTTCAAGTAACCTCTACATTGCAAACTGTCTGCCGTAAACACCACGCCGAAAGGTGCAGTACAAGTTTCAATATTATTGGAGCCAGCCAGCAAAACCTAGTAGTCTGTTAAACCCTCAATGCCCCAGACTGACAGCTCCAAACCGTGCAGTTATCTACCTATATGTAATTTATGTTAATATATATATATACACACACACATGCGCTGAACTCTATATACACCCAAAGCCACGAAAACCCTTAGCAATGCTTCAAGCGACCTGGGTCCTTCATGTAGAAAATAGGGTACCCCCAATTATCGGAAACCCTAAACCCTTATAGCGGCCCTTTAAAGGAACCCTTATAGTATATAGCCCTTTAAAGAAACCCTAAGGAACAGAAGCCTTTTGGCCTGGCATGGCCTTCAACCCATAAGCCCCAACCAGTTTCCGAAAGTAGGGGTACCTTATGTTGGGGCTCCTTTAAACGGTTACTATAGGGGTACTATAAGGGTCCCTTTACAGGGCTTTATGTTTCCGAAAACTTAGGGGTATCTTATTTTGGGGTCCTTGTAGTGAGGATCCTACTTATTTAGGGTCCCCTATTTTCGGGAACTCCCCGATTCCGACTCCTAGTCTGCAACTTGAACCGTACCTAAACCCCCAGCTCCTTGTGACGCCTAAACCCCCCACCCTTAATTATGCCCTGGAATACCCCAAACATCCTTAACTAACTCAGCCCTACCCAGATCCTAGAAACCCCAAAATCCGAAAACCAGAAACCCAAAGTCCAGAACATCTACTATAGGGGCCTTGATAATCAGAACAGGGTTTTGGGGCCCACTATACTATATCTATAACAAGGACCCTCCCCCCCCCAAAAAAAAAAAGAAACACACAGTTTTGATAACTACAGCCTTATAAGAACCCTTATAGAACCGTTTTGAAGGAACCCCTTAAAGGGAACCCTAAACTAGAGCCGCCGGCCCAGGGAAAGTTGACCGGCATGGCCCTTCGTGTGCCTACGATTGACGTCTCCGTGGTGGACCTCACCGTGGAGCTGGAGAAGGACTTCTTGGCTGTAAACTCAACTTTTCAACTTTTGAGTTGGTGTTCTTTTCAGGTAGTCGATTCTGAGAGTTTCAACTTGTATTTCCCTGGGTTTTGGGCCAGTGAGAGGAGCTTTGACAGTCGACTGTGGTTATATTAGCATAGGGTTCCTGTAAGGGTCCCTAGGATTGCTATAAGGGTTTAGGATTTAGGGCTTTAGATATGGGAGTTTCCGAAAGTATGAGACCCCCCATAATAGAGTACCTGGAATAGTAGGATCCTTATGATGAGGAAACTAAGAAAGGTACCCCTGTAGAGCTCGAGAAGGAGTCTAGGGGTTTCATGGTCTCCGGATTTCGTTTTTGGAGGGTGGGGGGGGGGGGGGGGGTTAGGGTTTTGAGGTTAGGGGTGGGTGGCGCGGGGTAGTGTGAGGTGGGGTATATCATGCTGCAAGAATGCTACAATTGAAAAGTGATACACTACAATGTACCAGCGTAGACTATACTATAGTTAAGCTGCGACAACACAACTAATATACTCTAGTACACGATAACAAAAACAAAGATACCGTCCAACACGATATACTATAATACAGATTGAGTATACTGAAATATGATGCAACACACTTTCATCAAATTCAGATCATTGCACCGCACCTATGTTACCTTTTTGCCCGTTTTTGAATGCTTTGTATACATCCCTAACTTGAACCCTACAAAACAGAAGCTTTCATCTGGTGCCGAGTCGGATCAAGCACAGAAGCAAAGTAGTAGTTTGGCAGCTTTGGCAGCACGCCATGGCAAATCGAATTGTGAAGGACGGTTACTTAGTAGCCGAGTGGATACACTTTACACTTTTTGGGAGAATATTACCCACTATAGGCCTAAAAGCGTACATGTTTGGGGGCTTATGAACTCAGCAACTAAGGTCATCAGCGGCCTCTGACCATGACAACCTATGCTTCGAACCCCACACCTTGCAGCAGTGGCGGCAGATATGCCTCTGTTGCAGAGGCTGCAGCGCAACAGAACACGGCGGCGGTCATCGAGATGCTGTCGCAGGGATTCAGAGCAGATAGTCAGGACTCCGATGGCAACACGGCTCTCCACTATACGGCACTGTTCAGTCTGGACTCACTGCTCGACCCATTGCTGGAAAGAGGTGCGCGACCGGACGTCGGAAACAGTTCCGGAGAATGCGCAGTACACTGGGCTGTGAACTCCTGTAATGTCAGTGCCTTGGACAGGATGACGAAGACCAATCGAGCCCTTCTCTCGACGCGTGACTGCGACGGCTTCACAGCCTTCATAGGGGCCGCACAGATGGGCAACTATCAAATTATGGAGTGGCTGTACCTCAAAGGTATCAGCCTGGAAGAGCAGGATGACCGTGGAAGAACTGCCCTGCAGTGGGCTTGCTACAAGGGGAATAAGAAGGCAGTGCACTGGTTGCTCTCGCGATCTGCCAGCATTGTTCACCGAGATCGAGAAGGCATGACTGCGCTTCACTGGGCCGTACTGCAAGGACACATGCAGATCGTCGAAATGCTCGTGGAAGTCGGGGCCGTGGGCCTCATAAACGTCCCAGATTGCACCGGCGAAACCCCGATCGCACTCGCAATGCGGAAGAGGAACAGGTTCTTGGTGATTGCCTTCCACAAGTGCCAGGTCTTTGATTTTTTGTTCGGCCAGCCACATGTTTTCCAGAATCTCATGCCGAGTGCCTTCCTGTGTTTCGTTGTGTACCACATCACTATCTTTGCCCTTATCATCGCACCGGGAATTGCGGCCAGAAATTCAGAAGCCGTCATGCACTGGTCGATGCTGATGGGGCTGTCACTGCTGCTCTGGGTGCAGTGCCTCTTATCGGATCCGGGTTGGCTCCAGCCACACACCATACCCTCCCAGCGCCATCTGCTGGGAAGAGACTTGGTAGCTGAGTAGGTAATCTTTTACCTTTTGGGGTTTACATCATCCTACCATTGTTGAAAAAGATAAACTTGTTTAGGCAGGGTTCTTCAACCCCTAAGGAGATCCAGCGCGGACGTTTGACGTTGAGCAGCCGATCGAGTCGCAGATGGCTCACTGCGACAGCGTGCTTCAGGAGCTAGCCTTAGCAGGCGACGGAGATGCCTTGGAGTTTCTGGGTTCTTGTTCAGGAACTTAAGTCACCATGAAAGGGATTTGTAGTACATGATATGGTTTCTTTATTATGGTAATGTAGACCTAAAACTAGAGGTAAAGTACCCTAACAAGAACCAAGGCTTAGGAAGTTGGAGCTGGAGCAGAATAAGTACAACTATCAGCGGCAACTTCTCCGGGAAGCTCGGAGACGACTTGAAGGCTGTGGCCTTGGCGATGCTCGAAGCCCAGCCTTAGGCGAAATGCAGCCCTTGATCACTTCAGGCTTGACTGTTGGCAGTTCCCCACAAGCCCAGCTGGAGCGGGCAACAGCGACTCTGCACGAGCAGGAACGGGCTACTGCAGACAATTTGGGCCGCGCGCGAGTGGAGCACCTCCTGGCAGAAGGTTGCAGCGAGTATCTCACGTTGGTGGAGAAGGGCGACTTCAAGCAGGTCTGCGTATTCTGCGGCATAGTGCCCAGCATGCGCTCGCATCATTGCAAGGAGCAAGGTCGATGCGTCGAGAGGATGGACCACTACTGCCCTTGGATCGACAACAGTGTTGGTTTGGGCAATCAGCGATCATTTTGTTTGTTCATTGTGGTGCTTCTTGCCACCATCTTCTACTTCTACTACACGGTCTTTCTCTATGCTTTTGACACGGTATTTCCAGAAATCTCGCGAGGCTCCTTCAGTGAACTTTTAGAAGCCTTGTCAAATGGCTCCCTTGCGCCCGAGTTGAAACCGATTCTGGTTCTGGCAACAGCAGCGTTGGACCTCTTCTTCGTGCTGTTTGTAGGTTCTCTCGTAGCCAGAACCATGGCCTTCATGATGGTCAACTTGACGACATACGAACCTCGGTTCCCCAGTGGTATCCTTTTGCCCTTTTGTCTCTGTGGGTTCCCTGATTAAACCGAAGTAGTAGGAAAAAGGGTGTCCTCATCAGGGTTGGGTTCCCTTAAAAACAAGTAGTAGGTAACAGCGTACCCCTTTCATTAAGGGGCTCTGGTGAGCCTAGGAATTCTCGCGCAGACCCGGCCACGTGCCCCGACGCTTCCGCAAGGCCCGGGGCAATGGCACCCGAAACCCCAACACCCTTAAACCCCCCAAACCTTAAACCATCCTAAACCCTATAAGCCCTAAACCCTAAAGCCCTTAAACCTCAACCCCTAAATCCTAAACCCCCAAACCCTAAACCATCCTAAACCCTAACCCCTATAAACCCTCATCCTAAACCCAAAAACCCCCAAACCCTAAAAAACCCTAAACCCTAAACTTAGAGGGCTCCGATGCTTCCGCAAGGCCCGAGGGCAGTGGTGGTGGTTCCATGGCTGGGGACTCCGATCTGCCTCTGGGTAGGCAGTTGAACGACTTTCTGTCTTTTCATAAATAAATAGATAAATAAATAAATATATATATATATATATATATATATATTTATTTATGTTTCGTTTATTTATTTACTTACACATGAATGTATCATCGCGTCTTGTCTTCTGTTGAAATAGAGTGTATGATATGATAATGGCATTTATTCCATTCTCTAAGGGGTTTAAGATGAGATTACTTGGGTATATATCGAGGCTTCTCGGGCACAGCCTAGGCCTTCTTCAACGTCATGAGCTACTGGACGCTGAACACCAGCGGTGATGTAGCTGCTTTTCTCGGAAGTCCTCAAGACAGCTTGGTTTAGGAGTTCAGGGGTCTAGGGTTTCGGAGTTTAGTATACGGGGTTAAGGTTTAGCTTCATCGCTCCAGGAAGGGTTGCAGGGAGTAACTTGGAAGAAGGCAAATTTGCCTACTTGCCGGAAGAACCCTGAGAGATGGCAGTGATCGCATGCATCTACTTTGCAGAGATGATGCGATGCGAACTGAAAGAGTGCATGCGCCTTGATATCAAAAACAGCCGTGCAGCATGGAGATTTTACGGTTAGGGTTTATTGCGAGGGGCGGTAGGTTGAACGGTTGCTCGCGCTTGGCCCCTGTACGCCCTGAAGCTTGTTCGCCCGAAGCCGTTCACAACCCGGTGAACCTCAGATCGCATCCCACACCCTAAAATACCTGCAAGTTCCAGCCAATCTCTCGCCTTGGCTAACCTTTAAACCTAAACCCCTAAGCGGCCTCAAACTCTCACGTACCCTGAACCTCAAACCCTAACATAGAAGCCTGAATCATCAGCAGTGCAATAGGGATCCTAGTTTCAGAACGGTAAGGCCTCTAAGCACTAGAAGGAGTACTTATTAATGTGGGTCTCAGTCCACATGTACCCTATGAGGTCCTACAGTATGGATCGGGATGCCCATACTAATGCGGATCATAGTAAGGAATCCCAAGCCACTTCCCCACCCCTGAACCCAGAGTGTAAGGTTGAGGGTTTTAGGGTCTATCGGAGGGTTTGAGTCGAGGGTTTTCGGGTTTAGGGGTTCAGGCTTAAAGGTTAGCCCTAAACCCTAAACCCTAAACCCTAAACCATAAACCCTAAACCCTAAACCCTAAACCCTAAACCCTAAACCCTAAACCCTAAACCCTAAACCGTACCGGCACTTGAGGTTCCAGGAGAGACGAAGGAAGCCGCGGGGATTACAGCTTATGGTCGGTATTTGGGCGTAAACCCTAAGTTCCCAAAGGGTCCATGCGCGCAAATAGTATGTACCTTGGCTTGAAATATTCCCTATATTACTATGAGTACATGGTGGCCAAAGTATATAATTACTATTTGGGTACATGGACCCTTAGGGGTTTAATTGCTGGGGGCTTGACATCAGACACCGTGTTGACATGATCCTTGTTTCAAGAGCAGCCAAGAGACTAGAACCCTTTCTGGTTCGCCTCAGTCTTCCCTAGTAGTTGAGTAGGTAGCCTTTAACCCTTTCTGGGTTTTCTATAATCCTACCATAAAGGGTTATCCGTTCTTAGGCTAGGGTACCCAGCCCGTAAATGTCCTGTTGTCGGCAGGAGACTACTTACGAGGAGATCTGCGCTGAGATGAAGCTTCCCGGCTGCAAATCCCATCGGGCTAATACATAGTGGCCGAAATACCTCGTCGTAACAATGTTCCCTTCGGTTCCTTGTTGTAATAGGTTATAGATTATAGCCGGATGTGTCCAAAAGCCCTCTTCGGATGAGTAGTTGGGCTCTGCCCCCAAGCGCTATAGCAATGTACCCTAAACCCTTAAGAGTATAGAGCTTTACCTCTGCGTGGAGATTGCTGCCTGCGCAGGATCATCACCCAGTGCTTGGAGGATCATGGGACTTAGTAAGTACGGTTATAAGTACCTGAAGTGGTGTTATAAGTAGTTGTAAGTATAGTTACCTTAAAAATAAACCTAGTTACTAAGTCCCATGATCCTCTAAGTGCTTCTGTCTTGTTTGCTCCGTACCCAGAGACTTCTGCAGAGCTCCATGAGTCATTACCAAGAAGGTCCATGTGGGAGTTTCCGAAAACTGTACAGGTCTTCCGAAATCATGATTAGGATGGTCTTTTGGTGGGGGCCAGATTCCATAATGGTAGTTGCGTTTATGCTTTGCATGAAGCTGGAACTCTAGACTGACATAATATGCGCCTCAACCCGACACCGTATAGCCAAGACCCCAAACCCTAAAGCCCTGAAGCCCTAAAAGCCCTAAATCTACGAGGTACGGTTGATGATATAAATCCTGCATTGCCTTAAGGACCCTAAACTATGGGAACTATGGTATATTCCTTACTAAGGGTAATGCAGGATTCATATCCCTAAACCCTACACCCTAAACCCTATAGATCCCTAAGGAGCCCCTTAAAGGTACCCTTATAGATCCCTTTAAAGGATGTATATCATCAACCCGTCTGTTTCGGCTTTGGCGGCTCTAGGGTCGATTTCAGAGGTGCCCTAAACCGCAGTCCCGCAACCGTGGTGGCTTGGGTTTAGGGTTTAGGGTTTAGGGTGCATTCCAGCTATTACTGTAGGAGCCTATAAATAGTTACCAATACCATTTTGGCGGGTCCCATATTCTAACTATAGTATAATGGGCCCCCAAAAAATCCAGTTCTAATCATTAAGGCCCCTACGGTATCCTCCAGGCTCGCGAACCATATTGTAAATCCTGGGCCTACACCAACAGAATCGAAAGCCCGATACAGCATCGAACATATCCCCGGTGTAAATCTATACGAGTCGAAGAATGCAGGAAGCTCGCTGTTAAATTAGCAAAGGTTGTGGTTTGGAAGCTGCATCAGCTTGAACTTCCAGTAGCAAGCCAAAACAACAACAGATTTCATAAGCTCTTCGCGTTGACGACCTGATACCCTCAACCCTGAACCCCCTAACACCCTAATTACATCCAAGTCCCATAGAGCACTCATAAAAGCCCTATGAAACCCTTATAACACCCACCCCACCCTTGAACCCCTCGAAAACCCTAGGAGTGAGAGTTCAAATCCCTAAAGATGTGTTAAAGGGACCCTTATATAGTACCCCTATAGGTCCCTTAAAGGGACCCTGTAAAGAGCCGTCGACTGCAGGAAGCGCTCCGAGGGAGACATGAAGGGCTACCTGGGCTACACGGACGAGGTGGGGACCCAGAGCCTCCAAAACCCCTTAATTTCAGGAGTATATTTTAAATTATAGTAGGGACCTTAATATGATTTAATAGGTATATTCCTTAATTAAGGGGTATTGGAGTCTCTGGGGGTGGGGAGGGAGCCGATAAAACGGTGCCCGAGTAATAGTGATCTAGTACATCTAAGTCTCTTTTACGAGCTACCCAAACGGTTCCCAGGATGTTTCTAGAGGAGCTTGGTATATAAGTTATATAGGGTTTATAAGGACCGGTGACACTATGCAGCCTTTGCTGTAGAGACGTTCGTGACCATGGGTATGGATAGGTGGACATGTCTTCAGGCTCCGCAGAAGTGGGCCTGTATTGTCGCATTCATCCCAGCAGGAAGTTCTGAGGTTTGGGTAATATGGGGGTCTTTAAGGGCTACTATAAGGGATCTATAAGGGTACTCTAATATGGGGCCTTAATAGTTCTGACATCCGAAACACTCAAGCCCCGATGCGAATCATGTCCAAACCCTCAACCTTATACATTGAAGCTGGCCAGTTGCTCACCCAAATGGGCTTTCGTAATCGTTAAAAAGATAAACGCTACCCAAAACCCCTAAACCCTAAACCCTAAGGCCTTTTAACCTTTGAGCTGAACTCTACCTTAAACCCCCAAACCCTAAACCCTAAGCCTTTTATCCCTTTTAAGCTGGGTAGCTCGAAGGTACTATAGTGGGGTTCCTTTAAACTTTCAGGGTACCATAATGGATACTACAATAGCTATAATGGGGTTCCTTTATAAGGCTACTATAATGGGGTTCCTTGAAGGGTGCTATAAGAAGGTTCCTAGGGTAGAATAATAGGGTTCCTTTAAGGGTACTGCAGTGAGTACTATAGTGGGATTCCTTGAAGGCGACTATTTGGAGGATCATGGGACTTAGTAACTAAGGTTATAACTAGGGCAACTATACTTACAACTTATAATTACTTGTAACCCCACTTAGTGGACTTATAACCTTACTTACCAACTCCCACGATCCTCTAAGTATAAGGGAAGCTCGAAGGCTTTGGTGTCCACCGACTTCGAGACCTGCCCCATCTCCTGCACCTTCGACTCCAAGGCGGACCTGGCTTTTGAGGGCTTTAGGGGCTTTTAGGGTCTAGGGGTTTGGGTTTAGCGTTTTGGGTTTTAAGGTTGAGTGGGTTTAGGGGTTTAGGGCTGAGGGGGCTTAGGATTTTAGGGTTGAGTGGGTTTAGGGGTTTAGGATGTTCGGGGTTCAGGATTTTAGGCAGGGCTCCTGTAAGGGTCTCATTAGGGGCTCCTTTGAGGGCTCCTTGAAAGGTCTGAAATTTAGGGTCTATGTTGTAGGGTTTCGGATTTTGTTT